ATATATTTAAAATAAAATAAAATAAAATAAAATAAAAAATCTGTTTAACATTTGTTGATATCTCTGCTAATATTGTGCATATTTAATATCTTGGGCTATATTAGCATTTTTTCAAAGTTTATATAGTAATTGAAGCAATTTCAATAGTGTGGTATATTGAATTGCTAGTGTAGACATTGCTTTGGGCAGATACACGAAGACTATAACCTTATTTGACAACTCTCTGCCCACTTTGAGGGACCTTTAAAAGTATACAGGGATAGTGGAAGAGACTTTGATTACATAGAATTAACTATCCCCATCAGAAGCTGGGTTCAAACATCATTAGTAAAATAAGTGCTTTCAAGAGTTTAAAAATTAAAATTATACTTTCCAACCTGAAAATTACATATAATTTTTTTAAATTAAACACACACACACACACACACAACACATACACACACACACACACCCTCATTTGAATTCATATTGTTGTCTCCTACTCCAAGAAGAGCAATTTCCTCCTATATTAGCTATCTTTATAGAACTTTAAGTAATTTGCAAATATATTAGTGTTTTATAGTTACATTATATAGTCACATTACATAGTTAATGCTGCTTTTATGTCCTAAGGCGGAACATGGGGTTCATTATGCTGGTTCTAGCCAAATCTGATTGTTTTTCCTCCATGGAAGTATAAAGACAGAAGTTAGAGTAAGCACATAGAGTCTTGTAGCAGGATGACAAAGGAATTTTATATCTTTCATAATAAAACAATTGGGGTTATACACTGAGTGGCCATATTATTATGATCTCTGAACACATAATAATATGCCCACTCCATATATATATATATATATATATATATATATATATATATATATGCTATCTAATAAAAGAATAATATGCAAATTGACTGTCACTCAAGACACAACATGGCCACCATAAGATGGCCTGCCGGGGAGGGCAGTTGTGGGCAGTTAAAGGTGATCAGGCCAGCAGAGGAGGACATTTGAGGGGGAGATGCAGGCCTGCAGGGGAGGGCAGTTGAGGGGGGACCAGGCCTTCAGGAGAGAGTAGTTAGGAGGGACCAGGACTGCAGAGGAAGGGCAGCTGTGGGAGATCAGGCAAGCAGGGAGGGCAGTTAGTGGTGATAGGGCCAGCAAAGGAGGGCAGTTTGGGGAGACCAGATCTACAAGGGAGGGCAATTGGGGATAATCGGGCTGGCTGGGGAGCACTTAGGCATCGATTAGGCTAGCAAGAGAGTGGTTAAGGGGTGATCAGGCTGTCAGGCAGAATCAGTTAGGGGTAATCAGGCAGAGGCAGGAGAGCAGTTGGCAGTCGGCAGTCCTGGATTGTGAGAGGGATGTCTGACTTGGGCAGTCAGACATCCTTCAAGGGGTCCCAGATTAGAGAGGGTGCAGGCTGGGTTGAGGGACACACACACCACCGTGTATGAATTTTGTGCACCAGACTAGTGTGTGTGTGTGTGTGTGTGTGTGTGTGTGTGTGTAGAGGCCTAGTGCATGATTTTATACATGGATGGGGTCCGGCCAGCCTGGCCAGGAAGAGAAAACATGGGTGGTTGGCTGGCCTGCTTGCTGGTCAAACTCCTGGTTGAAGGGGCAATTTGCATATTAGCCTTTTATTATATAGAATATATACTGAGTGGCCAGATTATTATGTATTCAGAGATCATAATAATCTGGCTACTCTGTGTATTTTATATGTCTATCTTTTTTTAACTTCATTTTCTAGTGGTATATTTTTATTGTATTTACAAATATATTGGTTCATGATGGATTAGATAAAAAATTCTAGTCCTTCACTGTAAATGGGTTGAGAAATACAGTTCTAAGGAACTTAATAATGTAGATTCAATTAAATAATAATTTAAAATATTATGCTCTAATATATTTGTTAGTTTTTTAAAGTGCTACAAAGATAACCAACATAAGAGGAAATTATTCTTCTTGAAATAGGAGACAATAACATAAATTCAAAATCTGGTGCAATTCATGTTACTGCTAACCAGTTACATGAATTGATAAAACTAAAATCAGTTTTAAAAATTCTCCCTTTTCCCTTTTCAGTGGCTCAGTTTCTAAAATATATAAAATATAAATTTAAAATATATAACAATAGGAAGTGTAGTCTTCTATGATATGTTAATGAGTGTTGTAGCTAAAATTATTCTGAAGCTAAGTACAAAATGTCCACAGAATTTATCAGGCATTAACTGTAGCATCTGCAAGAAAGTGATATAATTTTTTTTATAATAACATAAGTTGAGTGATCAATAACATATATTGAAGATGATCTCAACTCATGTCCATGTATAGAATCCATACTGAAAATCAAAAAATGTTAAATCACCCTTTCTCATCATTGTATCAGTAACTATGCACTAAATGGAGATCACATAAAATTGAAAACCTAATCTAATCTCCTAGCACCACTGTCAAATCACAGTCTAAGTTTGTGTCTATACTGCACTGATAATGTATCATTTAATACTCAAATGTACTGTTTCTGAATGTTGTTATACTATAAGTCAAGTGCTAGACAAAAGGGAAAATCTCTGAAAAGTCAGCATAATTCTTAAAAATGACTACATTAATTATATTAACTAATTAAAATATATGCTGGTCATTTATATTACTATGTTGATTTTACTGTTTTTCAGCTATAGAATCTATTGCTCAAATATCAAATTTCAGAGCTCTCAAGGGGTCAGGAGATATTGAACATGCAATTTACTACATGGTGTAGAGCATTAGATAATTATCCAGTTTCAAAATCGTCCTTGATTTTATTTTTTCCTCTCATTTTGACATTCTTTGGACTACAGATTAAAATGGATGTGCTAATTTCTCTTTGACCATAAAGAGTTTCTCAAATCTGACAGAAAACAGTTTCTTCTGTTTCAGTGATATTGACTTGTCTCTCTTTGAAACATTTACTTCCAATTCATTTTCTTTGACCTCTTCTGCCTTCTCTACTTCACAGCCCCTTTTAAAAATAGATCCCCACGTGATTCAACCCTAAGCTTTTGGTTTAAATTTTAGAGCATTATGGGGCAGGTAACTCATTTCGTGTGTGTGTGTGTGTGTGTGTGTGTGTGTGTGTGTGTGTTTTCGGATCATGCTTCACAAGCCTGGTCCTCTCAATTTTAACTAGCACTTATTTAGTTTCTGTCATAATATGGGCAATTGTTCTGGATACTAGGGTTGCAGAGCTAATTGTGCCAGAACTCCTGTGTCTGGGAGCTCATAGCAACATAATTACTTGCTTACATATCCAACAGGGATGACACAGATATATAATGCAGGATAATGCAGGCTGCATTAAATTATGTAATATATGTAAACACTGCTTTGCACACTCAGCAGCAAATTTAATTCCTCTGGTTTGAGAAGGGGAAGTGGGTCCTTACAGCTGTGGGGCAAAGTTGGGAAGAGTGCTTCTGGCAGAACAAGATATTGCAGCCAAGAAAAGGCACAATACATTTTTAGAAAAGGCAATTAGTTTTGTGGAGGATTGGAATAGAATGCATAGGAGGGGAGAGAGCCTTGGAGAGGCTAGAAATGAGGCTTAAAAATAACTGTGACAAGTTGGCAAAGGACCTAGTACCCTTCACTCAGGAGCCCCAGCATCAGATTTATGTTAAAAAGCAGCACCATGAGTGAGGATGGGCACTTGCAGGAAGGAATACCACAGAAAGGACAGAATGTCTCTCAAGATCTCAGATCTGAAGGATTCAAAAAACTGAAGTGTCCATACAGCAGGCACTCTGAATCTTGGACACCACGGGGAATGTTCAGTGATTCAGTAGGTCCCTTGTTCAGGAAGCTTTTATGGAGCAGGAGTGAGGAAAGAAAAACATGAATGGATTGTGGGCCTTGAGTTTAAAGCCATCTCTGGCTCTCCATAACCTTAAACCAGTTATTTATTTAGTATATCTATGCCTCAGTCTCTTCATCTATATAAATGGGGCTTGATCATAGTTCCTAATTTATAAGGTTGTTAGGAGAGCTAAATGAGCATTAATCTGTATCAAGCAGTTACATTGCTTCTCACATAGTAAATACTCAACAAATGTTATTCTTTATGATGTTAACCATGCAGTTTTGGTCCTTGCTTTTTATAAATCCATAATTTCACTAATAGCTAATATAAGAATGTGAAAAGTAAGAAGCTAGGGAGAAATCAGTGAATTCCTACTTTGCTTTCCAAGTTGATTTTGTTTAGGATCAAGAGTTTCAGGTTTTTGTTTTGTTTTTGTTCCCCCTTTACTTATTTGCTCCCTTAAATCAGGTTATAGCTTCCTGATCACATTTCTAACAACTCTTCCTTTGAAAAGAGTTGCTCAATTAAAGAGTCCTGTGATAGCACACCACTGTTTCTTCCCAGGGTTTGACTATTTGCTAAATATAACATTAATTATGCTTGAGATTACAGCATCATGACCTAAGCACATCTTATATTATGTCATTTATTCATTAAACTTCCATTAAGAAGGCAGATAGTGATTATCATACTATTTCAGAAACACAGATAAAGAAGTCATAAGAAACCAAATTAGTCACTAGGGTTCAGAGAAGAAATCAGTAACAACTCTGAATGTAGGACTCATATGTTTTAATAGCCCTTACTCACACTTCTTTCTCTAAGGCAATGGTTTTCAACTGTTATGCCACAAGAATTTCTAAAATGTAATACTATTTATTCAGGGGTGCTGACCTCCTTTCCCTTAAATTGGCAAATAAAAAATGACAATAGGCAACACAAAAATAGCTATCTGGTGTGACTGAATCAAAATTAACCTTTTTTTTTTGTTAGGCAAAAAAATTATTTTTGCAGAAGTTTAGTAATTAGTGTATGGTGTCATGAGATGAAAAACGTTGAAAGTCACTGCTCTTAGGTATAAAGAATAATGAAGAAATGGAAAACAGTATCGAAATTCCATTACGTTACCCATTAATTTATGGTTTCATATTTTAAAAGAACTGCAGACGTACCTTCACTGGCATGTCGGTCTCTAAATATGGCCTTTGGGTGGACACTGAACCCTTCTATATCATGGACTGAAGAAGCCCTCCGTATACTGCAAAGGCTTTCTTTCGATCTGGAATGGGTCAGCTTGGAGCTTGACTGAAGCATGTCAGGGTAGAGTCGGTCCCACTGCCTTTTGGGAGAGGAATGGTCAAGAGGTCCAGATATATTCACCAACTGGGAACACTTGCTGGGCTGTATCAAGGCTTTTGTGTCATCTGCCTCAGAGGGGCTGCAGCTTTCCTTTGTAGGAGACTTAAAGTGCTTCATGGCCACTGAATCATCACTGTGCTTAGAGGAATCAATCACGACCACATCAGGGTCTTCTTGCGGCAAGGACTGCTTTCTGGAAGTGAGGACCCTCAGGCCAGGGAACTTGAACCCAAAAAGTTTCCCTAAAGTAGAGACAGAAAGGAGAATTATTATAAGACAAAATATATACCCCTTAAAATAAACAAGCAAATATGTTCGGCTCATCTTTAAATGATGTGTAAGAAGATGTATTAGTCAACATTTAATTTACAGTTGGAATGAGACTACTTGTAGAAAACTTCTCTGAGGGTAATACAAATTATCATGTGAGTGTAAGAAAGAAGTAAACATAATTTTACCGTGTTTTGGATAGGTAGATAGTCTCCAGAGATGTGAAAGCATTATTTGAATGACACAAGGTTTTTTGTTTTAAGAAATTAAAAGTATATATTCACTATCTACCCATTCTTTGAGGGTATTTGAAGGGAAGAACATAGCTTAGAAAGAACAAAAGAGAGATGGGGCACTGGGTATAGAAGGATCAGACACAGAATGGACTATAGGGTATGCATACAGGTGTATGTGTTGGGGGGCTACTGTATTGCAAGTAGGGGGGAGGGCCTGAGATGGAGATGAGGAGCTGGCCTGACATAGCTGGAAGGTTTCTATTGGATAATAATGTGAGTTGAGTGTGATGGAAAAGTGATGTCAATTATGTATGAGATGTTTCTTATTTCATTTGGAATTCTTGCAAGACTTTTGTTTTCAGAGAGAGAGAGAGAGAGATGTATGGTAAAGAGAGGAATTTCTTTTTACTGATTTTTTTTGTTCTGAAATCTGAGAATATAACTAAGAAACACATAAACTCATTGGCAGTGAAATTTAAATTAACAAAAGCATAACATTTAGTGTTGGCAAAGAATGCTGGAGAGGATTGTGAACTGCTACAAATTCTTTGGAAAGTCATTTTATAATACCATTAAAGTAAGAAAAATACACTTTTCATTTGCAAACTGCTACAAATTCTTTGGAAAGTCATTTTACAATATTCATTAAATGAAAAGATTCACTTTTCATTTGACTCAGCAACCTCATTTATAGGATATCAAAAGCCACAAAAACTAGACATAATCTGAATATTCATTAGATGAAGAATGGTTGAATACATTATGGCATTATTATACTTTGAAATCGTATGACATTCTTTAAAAAACAAGAATAATATATCTATGCCCTTGATGTTTGGAAGTGGGGAAAATATAATACATTGCATCTCTCTTGTTTGATACATCAAGCATGCATTCTTTTATAAATTAAAAAAAGCTAACACTTCTATCCTTAAAGAGAAATGAAAATATAAGAAAAAGCATCCAAATAATATTGTATAATTTAAAGATTCTTCTAAGAATCGTCTGCAAGAAAATGCAGAGTTTCTAATTTGTATTGCCAGCCTAGTAGCCTAGGTCCACATCACCCATGCCTTTCCAACTACATGTCCTCATTCTAGTCATTCAGTTGGTGTCTTTGGGTTACCTTCTTGTATTCTCTGATGGTCAAGGGCACCATTATCTTTAATATATTTACTATGAATTTTTCCTCAGTGGACTCAAGGTGTCTTAACATGTGAAAGAACACTCATGAACTTTCCTGCATTTTATTTGAGTCTAATCTTCTAGTGGATGGTGTCATGCACACATATGTTTACTCCAATGATTCATAAATGTGTATCTCCAGCCTCAACCTCTTTTCTTTGTTCTAAAATTGCATTTCTAAAGGCCTCATCAACACCTTCATTTTGAATTCTTAATGACACCTCACAACCCAATAGCAAATCCAATCTCTTGCTCTATCTTTCCAAGCCCAGCCCTTTCTTTACGTGAATGGCATTATAATCTACCTAGTTCTATAAGCCTGTGACTTGAGACTCATTGTAGCTACTGTTCTCTCTCACCTCCATCCCCCATATCTGATCAGTCCCCTAATTGTGTTCATTTCACCTCTGGAACATCTTTTTAGCGATATTTATTCATAATAATCATTTTCACTTCTCTCATTTCCACTGCTCTCACTTTTGTCTAAGCTACTATAGATTCACCTGATTTCTTGCAATTGGATGCAAATTACTTTCCACATTGTATTATATTGTCCATCCTTTAAAAATAGTTTTCTATCTTTTAAGAAAAAGTCACTTGTGATCACATAGACTATGATTTATCTTTCCCTGCTCCTCATAATTCCCTGCGTTAGGAATGAAGGCAACTCTGTCTCCATTCTGCAGCTGCATAGTTCCTCCCTCACCCTCCAGATCCAGTCATGTGGACTTTATAATTCCTTTGGAGACCTGTGCTCCTTTCCAGCTTTTTTGTGTTGATAAATTTTACTCTTCCCACTTTGTACATCCTTTAGGTTTTAGCTCCAAAGTTAATTCCTTTGGAAAAATGTTCCTTCCTTCTGAACTAGATTAGCATCCCCTTTATAACTTCCACCACAGTTGCCTAGTTATACACTTGTTGACGTTCTTATTTATCTTCCTTAGTGGACTGTGGGTTCATAAGTGAAGGGCCCTTTTATGTTTTGCTCACCAAACCCCATCTCTGACGGGATGCCTGAGTTTAGTAAATAACTTTCCACAAGCAAATGACAAACTGAAAATGTGCTTCAATCCTTACTATAGAAAAACTAGAATATTTCATTGCTATGAACTTAATTAGATAATTTTAGTCTCCTGAAATTGTATTGACCCCTATTTACCCAAAAATTATTGAGTTGAACTTGGTAGCTCATGGAAATGGTGAACTGTATAGCATGTACTATAAACTTGATATATTGGGTCGGCAACTAAGTAATTGCGTGTTCACACATATATGGCTTCAGTTGAATTTTTAGGTTTGCAGACGTAGTACAAATGTAAAACACATTTTGTTATTTGATAGTTGGCTATTCAGCTGTTAATCAGTAAAAAAAGTTTTTTTATCTGTTTTGTAGTTTTCGTTTGGCATTCGTTGAAAAATGGAAAATCAAAAGGAACATTTTCGTCATATTTTGCTTTTTTATTTCCGCAAAGGGAAAAACGCATCGCAAGCTCATAAAAAGTTATGTGCTGTTTATGGTGACGAAGCCTTAAAAGAACGGCAGTGTCAAAATTGGTTTGCCAAATTTCGTTCTGGTGATTTTTCACTCAAAGATGAAAAACGCTCTGGTCGTCCAGTTGAAGTTGATGACGCCCTAATCAAAGCAATAATCAATTCGGACTGTCACAGTACAACACGTGAGATTGCAGAGAAGCTTCATGTATCACATACATGCATTGAAAATCACTTAAAACAACTTGGCTATGTTCAAAAACTCGATACATGGGTTCCTCACGAACTGAAAGAATCACAGTTAACGCAACGCATTAGCAGCTGCGATTTGCTAAAGAAACGTAATGAAAATGATCCATTTTTAAAACGACTGATAACTGGCGATGAAAAATGGGTTGTTTACAACAATATCAAGCGGAAAAGATCGTGGAGCAGGCCAGGTGAACCAACTCAAACAACATCAAAAGCTGATATTCATCAAAAGAAGGTTTTGTTATCAGTTTGGTGGGATTACAAAGGAATTGTCTACTTTGAACTCTTACCACCCAACCGAACGATCAATTCTGATGTCTACATTGAACAACTAACGAAATTAAACAATGCAGTTGAAGAAAAGCGGCCCGAATTGACAAATCGAAAAGGTGTTGTATTCCATCATGACAATGCAAGGCCACACACATCTTTGGTCACTCGGCAAAAATTAATGGAGCTTGGTTGTGATGTTTTGCCACATCTACCATATAGTCCTGACCTTGTACCCTCTGATTACTTTTTGTTTCAATCTTTACAAAATTCCTTGAATGGTAAAAATTTCAATAATGATGATGATGTCAAATCGTACTTGATTCAGTTTTTTGCTAATAAAAACCAGAAGTTTTTTGAACGTGGGATTATGATGCTGCCTGAAAGATGGCAAAAGGTCATTGATCAAAATGGGCAATACATTACAGAATAAAGTTATTTAGTTCCATGAAAAAATTGTCTTTGATTTTCTTTAAAAAATCCGCAATTACGTAGTTGCCGCTTTTAGGAGTATTGTAAATTTCATCTTTCTTCAGTGTTTATTAATTGCTAATATTCTGATCTTGAGTATACAAGTGTTTTCAAACTCATCATCATCTAGTGAATTTTATGAAAAACACCCATTCAGAAAATTTTAGAATTAAATAGTTTAATTTACTATTGTACACTTTCATTTGTAAGCTAGTAGACACCTAATTAACGGTGTCAAATATAATTGAAATAAAATTGATTTTTCTGGTAGAAGACATGACACAATGCACAGACAAACCCCGAGTATGTTGAAAATTAAACTCAGTTTTAAAATTTAAGTTTTTCCATCACTATTTATCCCAACTATGGTCTCTTCCACCTTCACCTATCCCCCTTTACCCCTGGAATCACCCAGCCTGTTGCTCATGCCCTGAGTTCTCTCTCTCTTTTTTTCTTTTTTGCTCAATTCTTCCACCCCACCCCCACTCAGCTGTCTTCCTGCTCTCTATCTATGAGCATTAAGCTGTTGATTAATAAAATGCAGAAGAGAGTAATGAATCTGTGCAACTAGGATTAAATAACAGCGTATTACAATAACTGTTTTGCAGGTATTTTCACATAATTCTACTGACAATGTTTATATGCTCAAGTAAATTGGCAAGTTAAAAATTAGTGAACTGCATCAGAATCATTTGATTAGTTTTTAATCCACGTGAAATTGAATAATAAAGCAGTTTACAAATCAATTCTGTAAGCTTATTATAATGGCCTAAAGGGCAATGCTTATTTTTACTCATTGTTCATCATTTACATTGCTCTCTTCTTTTATTATTATTATTATTTTTAAAATATATTTTATTGATTTTTCACAGAGAGGAAGGGAGAGGGATAGAGAGCGAGAAACATCGATGAGAGAGAATCATCAACCGGCTACCTCCTGCACTGCTCTCTTCTTTTGAAAGACAATTCACTGCCTTTCTTAAATTAATGATCACACAAGGCATGTAGTTTGCTTGTATAGTTTAGTCATGTACAAGGTGGTACAGATGTTTTTTTCTGCATGACTA